AAGTGACTGGTGACCAACAGACGATTTTTAGCCAGATGTACACACGTTATGGGGTTGCTGTCGTCCAGAACCGTTTTCATCGCTCTCACTCGCTATGAATTGGGCCCACGTATCTAGTTTCTTCATACATTTGCACCCTTCTTGTCTCACTGGGGCGTAAGTTACTCCATCGCTTCGCTTTTCTTCGTCTTTTACTTAGGTGAGTGCGTTTACACACATTCGTCTTCCTAGGTTATCTGTCCGCAATCACTAACTTTCTCTAATGGCCAGTCAGAACAACCATCTGGCAGCTCAACATCTGAAGAACCCAACTGAAGCACAGTCCCAGACAAACTAACCAGCACTCAACCTCCTGTTTTGCATGCCAGAGCTAGAGCAGACGAGTGGCTCAATCTACTGCATGGGAATCCGCCAAAGACCTAGAACCGTTTAGCACTACCAAGAAGCGGGTACGAATAAATCAACTGGTTTACACAAGCTCATTAAACAGGTATTGGATATTGGATCAGCTGACTGTTTCAAACCACTGCTAGACAAATACATGGGAGCAAATGGCTTACCACGAACATTCACCGGTAGCAACTGGAGACACTGTTCATCCCCCCGTACTCCCTAACCCTAGTATCGACGATAAGACGCGTCCCCTCCTCATTTTATTATCATTATCGGTAACAACTAGGAACGCTGAAAACTTCCTCTTACTGTCACTCTTTGGTCATCAACAGGTCGTCCAACATTGGAGCTAGACCTGACCGATCATGGGTGTCAAGAAAGATATCTCGAGAAGCAGCTGGTCCACTACAACCCACAACCATGGTCGTACATGGAATACCCGGAGTGGTGACCGGTGCCCCAGGTGATGAGTACACCCATGGCGTCAAACGGTGGGAGTGGTTATCGTCTCGGATGGAGCTGAGTGGGGTTGCAGCTGCGACAATTAGCAGACTGCCACGTCCCTTGCATCTGACAACCATGACCTCACCTAGACTAATGGCTGCCAACTTCGAATCCCCAGAAGTACTCATCAGCTTGCTAGAGGCGTGATACAAAGTCAAGAGCACCGTAGGCGGTAACGTTCGCTGCTGTGAAAGTGGACCGAGAACACCGAGACAACAACAGACAGTAGTTACTCCCTGTTCTCAGGCCACCGTAACCCTAAACCGAAACACTGGGAGTCAGACCGGCAACCTCCACCCAAAAAAGAGTACGCCAATCAACTCAGGAAAAAATTAACTGGGGCAGTTCCACTGGAACTGGCCAGTTAGTAGAGACCCTCACATCCAAACCTGTGCCACTTGTCAACCCAGAGACATCTCACGTTACTAGAAGCATCTCCAAGTGTCTCTACAGCAACATGAGAAGACTCCAAAGTAAAATATCAGAGCTCCGATCCTTCTCTCTCGACCTCGTCCCAAAAATCACGATCCCGACAGAAACGTGGTTGTCGCCAGACATAAGTGACACCGAAGTTAACGTAGACTACATGGTTCTGTTTGGGGAGAGACAGGCAACAGGGACGGAAGGGGGTTGCAATATACGTGAACAGTTGGTTCAGAAGTGAATAAGCCACTGATGCATTACCGACAGAGCTTCCAGACTCTATCTGGTGTCACTTTACGGTCAAACACACCAAATTCCTAGTCGGAGCAATCTACAGGTCCCCTAATAGCAACTTAGAACGCAACTAAAAACTACTCCAAGTGATATCCACAGTGTCAGCTTCAGGGTACGACCAGCTTCTGATAGCTAGCGATTTCAAAGCTCCAACCCTCAGCCTAGAGCAAGGTGGCACCACCCGAGCCGGAAGTTTGACTGCAACCTGCTAAATGCCATCCAAATGGCTGGACTGCAGGAAAAAAACAGCGACAACGTCCGCTGGGGGTCAGATGGCAGACCATCTAAACTGGATTACCTACTGACCAGTGATCACCTTCTGGTTGAAAACGCCTCGTCTTAGAAGTAGCAATCACGCTATGCTGGCGTTCGACCTAGTAATCCGTGAAAAATTATCGTGGGAGGGACCTCGCCCTTACCTCTGCTACAACTAGGCAAACTACGAAGGCATGAACAAAGGCCTTTCAACGGCTCCGCGGCCGGTGGATTAGTGTTCCTTGTCGATCGACCAGCACTGGGAACTGGTAAAAGATATTATTAAGGCGGCCTTCTCGCAAAACGTCTCCTTGGCGGTAACAATAACCAGAAGGCGAACGTCATGGCTAAGACGGGGCACTGAGCGCCTTCCAAAAGCCAAGAGAGGGGTATGGCACACACGGAGACTCTTCAGAGAACAGGACGACCATGACGCATACATGGCTTCACGGAATCGAGGCAACATAAGGGTGCGGGGAGACGGGAGGTCGTTCCAGTCCAAACCTGCCAAAAGGCTTGAGGTAAACCCCAAAAACCTATATCGATTCATGGCAAAAAGCAAATCGACAAGCCAAGGAGCATGTGTTATAAAAGGTCCGAGAGGAGAAAACCTCTCTGGACAGGAGATTGCTGAAATGCTGAGCACCACATTTGACACAGCTCGACATTCCATCAAGAAAGTGTGCATACCAGTTGCACGAACAGCTCCCAAAGTTACCCGACGCTGCTGAGTTATGCGAAACACAGATAGCTCACGCTGTTGTTCTCGATAAGCTATTAAAGCTAAGCGCGGAAAGGTCCCCAGGGTGCGACGACATCCGCCCACCTGTGTTGAAAGAATATGCAAGCACCCTGAGTGGCCCACTCTGTGATCTCTTCCAACACTCCTTGGATGAAAAAAGGCTCCCAGGAGAGTGGAAACGGGCTATCCTTTCCCCATCTTCAAAGGAGGAGACAGACAGAATCCCAACTGTTATAAACCCATAGCACTTTTTCCAGTAATATAAGAAGTTATGGGAAGTGTGATGAACGGCCGCATCAGGGAATATCTGGACAAAAAAACAGGCACTCAGTAACGCTCAACATGGGTTCCGGAAAGGTAGTCCTGTGTCTCCAACCTCTTGACCGCCCATGATCACTGGGCAGCATGCTGAGATCTCAAGGTCCCGGTCCACCCAATTTTTCTGGACTTCGCCAAAGCCTTTGACACCGTCTCATACACTATCCTAATACACAAGATAGCTGGATTAGGTATTCGCAGCCAGGTGCTATCGTGGCTGGAGAACTACTTAGACAAAAGGGAGTTCTGCGCGAAAGTCAACAGAGTCTACTCAACTTAGAGAACATCCTCATCTGGTGTCTCACAAGGAGCAATCTTGGGCCCACCGTAGTTCCTACTGTTCATGAATGGCCTGCAGCAACATATCATCTCCCCGATTCTCCTATGCACTGATGATGCCAAGTTACGGAGGGCAATAACTTGCGAAGCGGAATCTATAGCATTACAGAAGGACCTCAAAACACTAGAGGAATGGGGAACTAATAACGAACTGGAATTTAACCTGTCTAAGTGTCAGTCCATGTTTTTCTACACTTCCGATCCCCAGAAAGTATCCTACCATCTCCGTGCTTCACGTCTACCCCACACCACAGTAGAAAAAGACCTGGGTTTAACGGTGACGGAGAAACTGGACACCAGTCCCAATTACACAGGTGATGACTCAAAAGCATATGGTGTACCACACTTTGTGCGTAGACAACTGGGTGCCCTCACCCCAGAACCCTTTCTGAAGCTCTACAAGACTTACAGACGGCCCCATTTAGAGGTCCATAATGTCTTCTCTCCACCACAGCTGAAAAGTGGCACTAACCTACTGGAGAAAGTTCAGGGGGGAGCCACAAAAGGGGTTGTTGGGATGCAACGAAAACCGTGCGAGGATAGACTGAGAGACCTAGGCCTGTACTCTCACAGCCACCGAAGGTTACTAGGTGACTTGACAATGGCCTACAAGATACTGAATAACCCAAGCCACCCGAGCAGAGGAATACTACCAAATGGCCGCCATGGAGATCCTCGAGGTAACCCACCAAAGGTCCAAAACTCATGTGCGCTCACAGTTCTTCTCTCCCGGGTCTGAGGGTACTGGAACTCACTACCAACCGGGGTGGTCTCCTCCCCAACTATTGAAAGCTTCAAGAGGGACTAGACATTCAAGCAGAGGCTCACGGTCTACCCACATATAGCTTGAACACGAACTGATGTCAAGCCACCTCATGTATTTTGACCTAGCAACCAGTTTTCTTTCTATTGTAACCATTTATGCCCTTTTCATCCCTTCAACTTGCCATGAGTTACCCTCACTTACCTAAGTTCTTCTTGCCTTTGCACTCATCCTCGCATTACGTGGGAGTAAGTAGATTACTCCATTAGTTCACTTTTCTTCTACTCTTTTGCTCACACAGACACTTTCTAGGTTTTCCCAAACCCTCTCTAGCGACCAGTCCGAACAACTGTCTGGCAGCTCGACATTTCAAGAAGCCAACTGCACTACAGTCCAAGCCAAACAAACCAACTTCCTGTTCTGTAAATAAGAGCTACAGCAGACGAGTAGCTGGATCTACTGCATCGGAATCCGCCGAAGACCTGGAACCGTTCAGCAAGACCAAGAAGCGAGCAAGAAGAAATCGACTTGTTAAAAAGATATTGGATACTGGATATTGAACACTTATTTTCCCATGAGTAGTTTTCACTCCTATTTTTCTCATTCCCCATTGCCCCAATTTCTAGCTATTTTAAGTAACGCTTAAAGCTTACTTACAGTTACTTACAAAGGGTTAATTGATCTTACCAGCAGCTCTGTTGATCACCCCAAACAGACCAGGCTACAATATGCAAGGAACAAATACCTTCAAAAACAGACAATCACTATCTCCAAAGCAGGAAAAACTTAAAAAACTCAGCAGCCATAGAAGGAGCACAAACGATCAAAGGAAACCGAGCCTCAGGACCTAGAAATGAGAGCTCAAAAACTACAAGTTTCCTCTACTCGCACTATTGTTGTTGGATGTTGTTGAATAAGGGTATTGGGATAACACATTGACCTTGGACAATTTTGAGTACTTTTCCACAAATGCCAGCTCTAGGTATTCGTCATCCAAGTGGTCACAAAGTCACAGTGGAGTTATCGCCATCAGCACCACTTATTCAGGTAGTAAAATTTGTCGTATATTGGCTTTTAGGCACTTGAAAAGGCATGTAGGATGAGGGGTTTGGACCCATCAAAATACCGTTTGAGGTAGGTGACAATCGATAACCGCTTGGAAATTTGTGCTACAGTCGGTTTCGTAAAGTTTATATGGTCATTCGAGACCGTTCTAATTAGCAGGTGCTCTGGAGATCCCTCATGAAAAAAAACCAGGTCCCTCTATGAAGCCAAAGCTCTGTTCATCCAGTCAAGTCAAGGCATTGAGTGTTCAGCCATCGTTTTCTTCCCAGCACATGACGTGGTTTGTTGTGTCAGCACGTGAGGAACGTGAAAGTCGGGTGTGAATTTTCATGTGGAAGAAGAAACTCGGTTGATGAGATAGGCCTTCACCGAATCAGATGTCTAGGGCATGTATTACCTGTGCCTGGTCATCCTGTTACCCACCACACAGTGCTAGCTAAAGTTTGTTTAGGCTGAAAAGATGTTAGAGACAGTAAAAATGAAGCATGGTACCAGATCATGAGGTCTAACTGAATATGTGCCATGTAAAGAAGTGTAGGCCGAAATCGGTGACTGAGGGCTCCGCGTGAGATGGCTTAGAAGAGATTTATTTTGCACAGATGCATCCACACAATATATTATCCGCCATACCGAAAGTCGTCATTGTTTTATCCTTTTTCTTTCTATGACTTTCTGAAACTTGCTGAATTGTTTCATTAAACTGCAGATTGTAAGCATCGGCCCATTCGAGTCACGCCGGTAATACAGCGCCTCATCAGTCATAATGAAGCTTTTGTACTTTAAGTTACATTGTTTGCGAGTTTTACTACACTGCCTTACAAACTTCAGTCAGTGAATACTCATTGAAATCTATGGCCTACTGGTTAAACGTGTTGTTTGAATGGCGTTGTGCTTTGTTCTTCTGCAATCTAGAGATAATGCTGAAGTGTTTATCACCAAAAAACAGCCTTCAACCATATCGTGACAGCGAATGCAACTCAGTGGATCGACTGAACGCGAGAGCTGCTACTTACAACTACGTAACTATCCTCCCATCTCGGAAGTACTTCCTGCTGTTGATTCGTAGTGATATAAATCGTCAAGCTGCTATAGTTTTAGCTGCCTTTGGGATCATTCACCAAGGAACATTTTTTGGTCTGTATATGCGCACTCGGAGTGTTTGGCTAAAGCTGCTGATAAAGTGGGAAAGACCGAATATCAAGTTCCCGCTGACAAGCTCTTTACTTAACGGTTTCGTTGACCCGTCCTCTGATTATACTCATATTTAAGCCACTTAACTATAGTGGCTCAACAAACTTGGTCACAAACTGTAACTCATATAACGAGGTCAGCAGGCGGACAGAAACTAGTGTGTGCAGAAGAGATGTGCATGACAATGCCCATATCATCCAGAATCACTGTGTCGCTGTCATACCAGACGCAGCATTTACCAAAACCTGTAAACTCATGTAGTCAGAGTGACAGCGGTACGCCCTCAAACATCCCGCTGTCAAAAACAAAAAACCAGGAAAACGGGTATGTCGACAAGCTAGTTTACCGACAGACGCTGTAGTTGACCTCAACTCACTGAAGGCAAACCATTCAGTCAGAAACAGAAAGCGAACCTATGATGACTGTGGTGCTTACAATGAATCAGTGTCGGAGGCACAAGAAGCCTTTGCGTGTAAAATTTGTCTGAAGTGGGTGTGCTGTAACTTTAATAAAAGTGTACCAGGCCAGCTCTGCATCTTCATAGGGAAGCCTAATGTAAGAGGATATGGTATATATGCCTAGAATATCAGAGATTACCCGCTACCATCATCGACAAACTGATAAGCCTGGTACAGCCCAAGACATTACAAAGCATGGGCCCCCGCAATCTCCCCGGCAGAATCTGCGCAGACTCCACAGGCGTGCAAGGATGACACCCCTACACATAGGAAACTACCAGTTCCCACTTCAAGCGGGGCACCAACGAAGTCGTCACTTGTATCGATGCAATTCAGATGGTCCAGCGGAACTGAACAACCTGAAGAAATAGGTTGTATCAGGGATACTTGGACGGACGTAGCTGGGAGAAGAGGTAGACCGAAAGCACTGGCTACCAAACCCAGCACCCTGCACCCACAGGAAAAGGAAACGGACTCCATCGCTTTTTTCAAAGTTTCCTTACCAACCGACTCAATCTCAGAAGAGGGGAGCAGTCCGACAGGGGGAAATGAGGCGAGTATTGCAGGAAGCCAGGAACGGAACCCATTGCAATTAGTCGACGCCATCCCTCCTGAGGAAGTGGAGCACTTGAGATGAGCCGCCACCTCTTAGGGTGCCGTTGGTAACAAAATAGTCAGGGGACGTACTACTGCTGTCGCGCCGGTCAGACGTCGCAGGCTCCTACATCATGAGAATGAAGCCAGACGGACGGTGGGTCATCAGAGAGGCGGGGAGGAAGTCTACACCTAGCGATCCGCGCAGGGCTACCACCACGGTGGTGCATAGAATGCCCGAACTGGTGAGTGGATCCACAAAATGTGATTATGGCCTCCATGATGTCCAGCGGCGGGGATAGCTAGCGGGAAAAGTGGTATTAGAAAACTTGTCTGCAGTGCAAGTGGATTACTAAGACCTACTCACCTGCGGAGCATCTCCTCACCAAGGTTGCCAACAGTACACCTCGACTCCAAGGCATCACTTACACAAGCCCCTATCTCATGGCGCCATGTAAAAGATCGGATAGGAGATGCTGTGCGATGTTATGAGATTAAACCACGGCCTACTAGGCTGGAAGATAGGTGGTAACCTCTGAGCACGTGGCAGACAGTACTAGTCACGATAGAATTATTCGGGCTTGCTGTTCCCGAGCTCCACTCAGGCGTCGAAGAATTATAGTGCCTAAATCTTAGACACTATGTTCGTCAGGCTGATTCCTCTGTGGTTATCACAAGAGAACTTCTCGCCTTTCTTGAAGACTGGGATAATGAGTGACTTAGACCAGTGGGAGGGAATCGTATTTGATTCCCATCTACTGGCTAACACTTCCGTTAACGTGACTAAAACCACCATCCTTGTATACCTTAGGAGTTAGTCCGTCTGGTCCTGCCACCCTTCCTCGTTTCAAGTTACCTACTGCTTTCTCGACTTCTCCTAGTGTTGGGAGGCCTATCTCAATGTTCCATTCAGGATCCGGCTGGATAGCGCGCAACGCAATGATGGCTGGAGGCCAGTTAAACTGCTTCTCGAAGTGTTCTGCCCGTCGTTCCAGTCGTCTCCTCTGTGAGTGAATCGCAGATGCGTTCTTCTCCGCTATGGACTCACTAACCCCAGTTTCCTTGATAAGTCTAAATAACTGTGTACTGTTACCAATCACCTCTGTCTTTTCCAACTCTTTAGCCTTCGCTCCTCACTACTGTTGGCGGTGGTTGCGTAGACTTTTTCTCAATCTACTTTTGAGTTGCGCTCGCTCTTCGTTGTACTCAGAGCCTGCAGGGATGCGTTCACGTGCATCCATTAGTTCGGAAGAAGCTGCTGATATTCACTGGCTCTATTTAGCCATTATTTCGGAGTCGGCTATGGTCTTCAACGCTGCTTTTACAGCAAACTGGAAATGGGATCAAGCTTTTTCTGGATGAGTAATAGTCTTTTCTTCCGATAACTACCTAGCCAACTTCTCACTGAACACGGCTTCGGTGTTTCCGTTGTCCAGCAGCACTCATAGTGGTTTTGTTGCCAAGTATTTCCTACGTCCATTGAGACGCAGGCATATACGCACTCGGGCCAACACGTGGTCGCTGTCCAAACACGTACTCCAGAAGGAGAGGCAGTCTTCCACCGACCCTCTCCAGCGATGACTAATAGCAATGTGGTCTATCTGTGTCCATCGTTGAGTGAGGTTGGGGGATGCCAAGTCAGACTGTGTCTTTCTTTATGTCTGAAATTTGTGCTAGCTAAAAATAGGCGGTTATCTGACCATAGATGTAGTAGGTGATCACCGTTATCTGTACGTTCATCTGGGATTCCGAAAGTGCCACCTAAGTGCCTTTCTGCCTCACTCAGTCTACCCACCTGTGCATTGATGTCACCTGCAACAACCACTACATCCGAACGTTTGGCTTTCGAGAAGAGGCTAGACAGTTTACGGTAGAACTCGTCCTTCACTTCATCTGAACTTCAGTCAGTGGGTGCTTAAAAACAGAGATTACAAAGAGACAACGATAAGTCTCACCATTCCTTTTAGTTCTCACTGTGCCATTCAGTCGGATAACACAGAGGCGACTATCAAGTGGGATCCAGTCTAGTAGTGAGTTTTCTGCCCTAGTGCTTAATGCTATGGCTACACCTGCAAGACCCCAAGAGCTAGCTATCGAATGTTCAGAAACTCGAAGGGTGAATTTTGCGGATTCATCAGATTGACCGGTAGAGGTCAGGTGAATAACCGCTCTTGGGTCCTGTATGTGTGTCTCACAAACACAGTACACATCCATGGTCCGAGTTGCTAGAGTCTTTGCCAACGAGGCCTGTTGACCAATTTGAAGGCTCCAATATTTAATTTTGAGCGTGATTTAAGGAGACCAGGGATGCTGTTTTGTGGACTCAGATTGTTGTCGAAGGCTGCAGAGCTAGGAGAAATTAAAGTATCTTTGATTGAGAGACGTGAAGGAAGATTAGAAGGTAATGATGGGGGAGGTGGATAGCAGTCTGAAGAAACTTGAGTGCTGATCGAGTTGTGAAGGCGGTTGACACTTCCGACAGCCCACGCCGTGGAAGACTAATTCTTCTTGAGGTGCCTGAAAGAGATTTGTGTGACTGCAGAGCCCATCGGACATCTGTTTGAGGCCTGTCACATGTTGCCATTTGAGTATGATTATTTCGAAGTTTTGTATTTTTCTTGGGGCCGGAAGGTCGAAATTAAACGACAAATGAACGAACACCGCCTGCCCGGCAGACCGTGGAGCATGGTGGAGTGTGTTATTTTTGGGGCCGACCTTCCCCAACCTGCCCCCCTTCAACTGAGAAGGCAGCATCAACATGGCACTGCTGGTCATCCAAGGGAAACACCTTACTGCTGTCACACCCCATCCAGCTAGCAGCAGTAC